TTTATTGTAGAGATGAGGTCTCGCTGCCCAGGCGGGTCTTGAACCCGCGGGCTCAGGCAATCCACTCACCTCAGCCTCCCAAAGGTGTGGGATTACAGGCTGAGCCACCGAGCCCGGCTGAATTTTTTTTTTTTGAGTTCGAGTCTCACTCTGCCGCCCAGACTTATGTCCAATTTATGTTTCCTATGTCTGCCTCCCGAGGGGGCTCAGACTCCTCACCAGAGTTAGGGAATCAGGACCTGGGTGGCAGGGAGGGGTGGGGGGCAGCAGAATTCTGGAACCTACCCGTTTCCACCAGCTTGGCGGGGGGTCTCATGCCCACTCTCCTGCCTTGGAAGGGGGCATCACACATCGAAGGTGCCAGTGCTCCCTGCCCCAGCCTTGCTGCCTCCCACCTCTGCCAGGAAAGCAGTTTCCCACAGGGTGGGTCCCCCCCACGCACCCCACGCACCCCACCCGCTTCTTGGGCTGGGAAGGCAGGGGCAGGCAGGGCAGGACCAGGCAGGTGAGGCCAGCTGGGCTGTGTTTGTTTTTGAGGCTTTCCTCTTAGACGGGTTCTCCAAACAGAAGACCTGGGTGGCTGTGGGGACAGCGCCAGCTCCAGCCCCTCGGGGTCCAGTAGATGAGGGGGGCATTTAGACTCCTCCCAGGACCAGGCCATCTTAGGGAAACTCTTAGCCTTGTGACACAGGAGCTATTTTCCCATTTGACAGAGGAGGAGGCGGCTCAGAGAGGTCCAGTGGCCTGCCCAAGGGTACACAGCTGAGGAGGGGATTGGGTTTGGGGCTGCACTGGGTGCTTAGCTACCCTCTCCTCCTTCAGACGCCCTCCCTCCCATCACTGCATTCTCCCCTGTCTCGTGCTCCCCCAAATCTCAGTCTGCACCTCTCTTTCTTCTGTAGGCGGTGCCAGCCTTGGCCTTGTCAGTCCCCACCATGGTGGGCACCAACCCCTGGTGGCTTCAGCTCCCATGTCCAAACCACTGACATCGGCCATGACATTGGCCGTAATAATCACATTTTTTTTTTTTAGTTGAGATCTCACTCTGTTACACAGGCTGCAGTCCAGTGGCTTGACCACAACAATCACGGCTCTCCACAGCCTCTACCTCCTGGGCTCAGGCAGGCATTCTACCTCAGCCTCCCGAGTAGCTGAGACTACAGGTGTGCGCCATCACACCCAGCTAATTGTTTTATTTATTGTAGAGACGAACCTTGCTATTTGTGTAGGCTGGTCTCGAACTCCTGGGCTCAAGCAATCCACCGCCTTGGCCTCCCGACCTGCTGGGATTACAGGCATGAGCCACCACGCCCGGCCACATTTAAGGTTGGTCAGGGGGCAAACTCTGTCCTAAATAAGTGTTGCCCAAGATTTGCTAATGTAATCCTCACACCAGCCCTGTGAGGGGAGTGCCGTTTATTTTTTGCGTTGGAGTCTCACTCGGTCGCCCAGACTGGAGTGCAGTGGCCGCTCCCGGCCACCGCAGCCTCCACCTGCTGGGCTCCGGCGAT